AATTTGGACAGCTCTCACCATATTTTGCTTTTCCGCCGCCGTTAATAGCTTATTTTGGAATCCCTTGGACTAGTATTTCATTCCGTGCTTAACTGGCAATTTCCTTCCTTAGATCGTTGTGTCTGCTTGTCTGTGATCATACCTTCACCATAGCAACTTCGGGTAGTCTGCGAAAGTACTTGCATTTTTCTCAGGCACTTTTGATCTAACTACAATTAATCTCTCATACTCAAAATGTGCCACGACCAAATTGGCACAACGACGCCCTATACGTTCTCTGACCGAAGCGCAGGGCAAGACTTCTCTTGTCCTGAAATTCTTAATCCAAAAAAATTACGCGGTTCCAATTATGTCACTGAAGTACTAGAAATGTGATTTAAAATGGTGGAACTTCCCTGAATTTATAGAAACTAATTCTTCAAGCTATTTCAGGATGTTGACACCTGTAAAAAATCTGGAAAATCAGAGAATATCAGGGAATTCATTTTTGGATTAGAAAATCAGGGAATCTCTAGGAAGGTAAAAAGGGTTGAAAACCCTTTATCCAATCGAGGAAATCAAATTAAAAAAAAAAATGCTTCAAGATCTATAGGCTTTTGCAAGCAAGTTTACGGAAAATCAAGTTTATGTTAAAAGGAAACTATTTACGCTTATGCGAATGATGAGAAAATTTTCAAAACAGTAACAAAATTATTGTAACATTTGTAAAAAATCAGTAGTTGTGTATTACCAAATCTGCTAAATGATCACTAGATCTCCAGTCATCCAAATTCCCATAAATGTGATAAAATCATGTTCACCGATACTGAATCGACATATTGTTTTAAGCAATTCATTAAAAACTTTTTCTCCTCTTAATATCCGGTGGAAAAAGCGGTAATGAGAAAATGGTCCACTTATCCCCCAGGCCGCCGAACGTTCGTTCCCCGGAATCAAGTTGAACCCCGGCACGTGAATAAATTATTCTTTTAAGCGAAAAAAGCGATCAACATGATTCATCGCATTCAATTTCTGTCCTATCGCCTTTGCGCTTTTTTCTAATTAATATCTTCCCCACGAGTATTCCAGCTTGACAGGGCAGAACGAAAAGAACCTTCCTTCCGGTTCGGTCAGATCAGGCCACGCCACGGTCAAACCAATATCCTCTCTCCGCTTCGAGTGAAACCAGTGTTTTTTTTTTGCACGGGACCTAAAAGCCTTCTTATGCTCGCGCGCCATCATCGACGCCCCAAATTGACGTAATCTTTCCGCTCATCTTTTCGGCTGTTTGCATTTGGCTGCTGCTGCCGAAGGAACGTTGTCGATGGCCTAGCTCGTGAACCTGATGGAGGGAGGGGGGGCGAACAAAAAAATAATCACCGATCCCACGTCAATACAGACTCGCCCCGCCAAATTAATGATTCCAGGCACCACCATCATCGCCGGGCGGAAAAATTAGCTTTCACGGAGCCCATTCCCTTTGGTGCCCACCGAAGGATGGGTAGGTCTATCGGTATTTGTATATCTTGCCCCACTGACTGCCAGGATGGCAAGAGGAAAACAAACAATAATAATATTCACATTTTATCTTCCAATCCCAACGCGATCGTTGCGAACTGGCTGATTAAAAAGGGGGTTGGGGTCTTGGTTTCGGTATTCAAATAATAATTCATTTCAAATAAATTTTAACGGGAGATGTGATTTATGAATTCCACTGTGACTTATTTGCGCTGTAAAATTACCGATTTTCACTCAGGCACGTCATCGGAAGCTTTCTTCAAGGAGCCGCATGGTGCGTTATTTTAGTAAAGCGTTCAAGTTTCACGAAATAAACCGTAAATTTCACGTGGTATTATTTATTTCTGAGGGAAGAAATCTACAAAAACTCCACAAAAGCCACACATCATACCAGCTTAATAACATTGTTGAATCCCTCAATTCCCCCTTATTCATGTCGAGCAGTGAGCTTCCAACCGAGTGGCAGCCAAAAGTTGCCTCATTTGCATCCTTAGTCGCTCGTTCTTTCAAGGGTCTTTCAAGATTTCCAACTGGCTAAGAAGCAAAACAACTGATGCTGCCTGCTGCCGGCTGCTCGCTAGCTGGCTTTATGTAGATTTTCATTCACCGTGACCGTCATCGTTTCGGTTTCATGAAAACGAAACGAAACAGGACAGCACCATGCAGGGAAGAAAAATCGTCTCTCTGCCAATAATCAATCATCTCGAGTTGATCGATATGAAGCCACTTAAAGGGCCATATTGTCTCATTCCTCGCTGCGAGCCCTCCATCTATCTACGACGGTGGTCAACTGTCCTGTTGGTTCGGTAAATGCTGCTTGCTGTGAGCGGCTGGCTGGGGTTTTGAGTTTCGGGGAATTGTGTATGGATGCCATGTGAACTGCTGGATGGGGTAGTGTTTTTTCACCAATAAATCTCCTCGTTTTCTGGGGGTCCCAGAATACAGTACGCATCTAAAAACTGCAATTGGTAGAGCTCTGGAAGTTTGCTCAGCACTCGAGCTGCAGGCAAAGTTTAAGATCTGTAAGTATTAGATCAGGGTTTCGACTTAATGAACAAAGAAAATTTGGCCAAATTCTGCACACAGTGTGTTTTGTAGAACAACTTCAACATAAAATATTTAGCAAATCTGATATTTGCACACATGTTAGAATAGGGTTTTACCTATCATTTGCGACCTCGATTTAAATAATCGGTCGGGGGGCCTAGAGCAACTTTTTTTTTAGTTTTTTTTTTGCATTTAAACTATTGGTATTTGTAATGGCGAACGTTATAGTTTATTTCGCAGTGCTGTGATAAATATTCGATTAATTAAGTGTGAAATTGTGCTTGTGCCGCGGTATAATTGATCTTACGTGTGCCCCGTAGTGATCATTCAGTGGATAGGAGTAGGAGAACGGTTGCAGCTGCATCTGGTTCTTGATCAATTTGCGTTTTTTTTAGTAACAGTAACAGTAACAAACAGAGTAATCGTCAGACTCATTGTCATTGTCTTTGTCATTGTGATTAAACCAAAAGAGTCCAAACAAGCTTGCGAAGATACTTTGTTTTTGAAGTTTTTGAAAACACAGTTTGATCCAAAAACACACAAAATCAGTAATTTTAGGAATGGTAAAGATGGCTCTATTATTGTTGAGTGTGCAACAGGAGCTAATTCCTCCGATGGCTTCATTGACTACTTAAAAAGTCAAAATAAAGACATCGCTATAAATGGTGTAAAAATAGTTAACAGATTGAAAATCTACGCTTCACTTAAAAAAAGTTAAATGTTGCAATTGAAGTCGATGTCGATACGCATAAATGTTTGTTATGTGCGAAAAAAGTAAATATAGGGCTTGATCGGTGCCCGATAGTTCCCGCGATTAATGTGTTGAAATTCTTCAAATGTGGAGAATTCTGGCACAAGACCATGGATTGCAAAAAATGTGAGAGATGCTGTAGGTGCAGCCAACAACACAAAACGTTGAAGTGTACGTCAACTGTATTGAAATGTATTAATTGTTTGAAAATGAAAAATGAACGTAAAATGAACTTGGACGTCAACCATGCCGCAGCTCTGAATGTTTGCTCTACAAAAGACTTTTTGATCAGAATAAAAACAGCTTGCGTTTCAATAAATAGCAGCCAAGTTCCTAGAATGTAAATCAATTCCATTGTTTGTATTTGAACATTGCGGGGTTGTCAACAAACTACGTAGCATTACGTCAGATTGTAAACTTCTATGTAGTGTGGTGCTGTACAATGATTTGTAAGTGGACCTAGATGTGTTTATATTCAACGTTCAATGTTTAGTCAACAAATTCACAGTATAATTGTAAATTCCTCACCTTATAGTGTAATGATGATTTTAAATACAAATTTATAACTAATTTAAAGTAGGTTTAATTGCAATTCAAATTTATGCACCAAAGTTGAATTTTAGGAGTGATTTGCACTTTTTTTTTCTCCCGGCCGAATTGACAGCTCCGTATAACCATTATGCCGCTGTCAGCTTCAATGCGGCGCCACTGCATTCATGAGATAGATTAGTAGGTGTGGCGTCGCACGAGGGGCGCACGCAACAGTCCCCCCCAGTGGTTGGACCTTGGTCCGACCCACTCCCGTTTACACCTACGTCCAATACAGCTAGCTTGGTCGCAGGCCTCTCGTACAGTCCAGTGGTGGTCTGAACTGCCGCTGACCGAACCTGTCCATCAGCTGATGTTTTCACCGAAACCACTCGACCCTTGGGCCAGCAATTTCTCGGCAAGCATGGATCGGCCACGACGACAACTTCTCCAACCGCAATCGGCCTCACCGGGTAGTGCCACTTCGTACGACGCGTGATTGTTGGCAAGTACTCGTCCACCCAGCGTTTCCAAAAAAGCAGCATCAACGGACATTCGTCATACGGGACCAGTGGCTTCAATTTGTCCGACGAACCTAGTAAGAAGTGGTTCGGTGTAAGCGCCGGTGATGAATAATCATCCACCGGTACCTGGGTCAACGGTCGGCTATTGATGATGTTCTCTACCTCGATCAGATAGCTTCTCAATATTTCCTCCGTAGGTACTCGCTGTGGCTTGACCTGGGAAAGGACCTTCTTCACGGATTGGATGAGCCGCTCCCAACAGCCACCCATGTGTGGCGCCGCAGGGAGATTGAAACACCACGTTGTTCTCGGTGTGGTAAATTCCGCCATGAACCTGTTCTGATCTAATGCCGCTAGCGCCTCTTTAAGTTCCTTGTCCGCACCCACGAAGTTCGTCCCACGATCGCTCCTAATTTCTACTGGAGTTCCCCGTCGAGCGAAGCAGTTCCGCAGAGCTAAGATACACGAGCTGGTGTTCAACGTGGCAGCCAACTCGAGGTGTATCGCTCGAATCGTCAGACAAGTTACGATGACATCCCAGCGCTTCTCGTGATGGCGCCCTACAACGACGAAGAAAGGCCCGAAAAAGTCCACGCCCGCGTACGAGAACGGGCGAACGAAGGCTGCCATCCTTGCCTTCGGTAGCGGGGCCATCATCGGTGGCGCTGGTGCAGCACGTTGCAACTTGCATAGCCGTAGACCCTGCGAACTCGTGGGATGTGGAATCCTTTGCGTACTTCGTTCACACAGGTCTCGTGGCATTGATGATGATACCTTAGGTGAACGTCGCGTATAAGAAGCGTCGTAACTGGATGTTCTCGTGGGAGTACGATGGGGTACCTGCTGCTCTCATCTATAAAGTCGCATTCGCCCAATCGACTGTGGATGCGCATCACGCCCTGCTTGTCAATGAACGGACTGACCTTGAACAGGCTGTACTTTTTCTGGAGTCGGCGGTCGCCCGCTGCTAGTACCGCTAGTTCGTCTGCATAGACATCCTTCTGCGCTCGTTTGATTTGGAACGCCTCTGCTTCGAGAAGTTCCTCCTGCGTAAGTGGCCCGACACTCCGTTGTTGACCTCCCTTCTTCAGCCAGATGTTGTTTACGAACCGTTGGACGAAAGCTGTGACACGCCGTAATCGGTACCACGACGAAAAATTCTCGGGCAACAAAATGGTACGAACTCTCCCAACCGAATGGTGCAACACGCTTGAACGGATTTCTTCAACGGTTTCCTGGCCATTCAGCGACGACTCCGGCCATTCTATTTTGGGTCTCCACAGGAACGATGGACCGTTGAACCAACGGCATGCTGGCTTGAGATCCGGTTTGTACCTCCACTTTGTTCCGTCGTCGGCCACGTTCTCCTTTGTGCCTATCCACTTCCATTCTGTAACATTCGTCTCTTCCAATATTTCACCCACGCGGAAGGCCACAAACTGGGAATACCGGTGGTGGTCCGATTGAAGCCAGCACATGACGTCCCGAGCATCGGTCCAGAAATAACGACGGTCGACCTTGACATAGTGGCCTGCCTCGATACTCTTGGCCAAGCGCATACCGATGACTGCCGCTTGCAGTTCCAGGCGAGGAATGGAGACGAACTTGAGAGGTGCTACTCTAGTTTTGCTGCCAACAAGCGCGCAATGAACGTGTCCGTCCCTTTCAAAGCGGAAATAGGAAACGGCTGCGTACCCAAGCTCACTAGCATCTACGAACGTGTGAAGCTCGATCCTAGCCTCGTCAATGCTGGAGTCAGCCCGGTAGTAGCAGCGCGAAATTTCTACCGACTCGAGCTCCGGCAAAATGCGTAGCCATGTATACCACTTCTCCAATTCCTTTTTTCCAATTTCTTCATCCCATCCGGTTTTTGCTCTCCAGACCTCCTGTAGCAGTATCTTCAGGAACATCAAGTAGTGCGCAATGAGACCTAATGGATCGTAGATGGCCATCAGTGTCCGTAACATGTCCCGCTTGGTTGGGTGCTTGATTCCAGTGAGAAGGTTCTTGTTGCGTTCCGTGCAGAGCTTGTAGCGAAAGACGTCCTTTGTTGTGCTCCACCACATCCCGAGGACCTTTTCCATGGCAAGGTCGGCGCTCATCTCCAACGACTTTTCCGGATTCGGCTTCTCTCCAAGGGCTTCCAGCACTTTGTACGAGTTTGATACCCAATTTCTCATGTGGAATCCGCCTTGTTGATGAATGTAGCGAACCTCGTTGGCCAAGTCTATGGCGTATAGCGTCGACAGCAATAGGGTACTCACTTTCGAAACGGGCAGCGTTTTCGTTCAAGACGAATAGTGCAGTGCTGGGTGAACAGGTAGCTCCAAACGTGACAACCTGCATCACATAGTCGCACGGATCCATCGTTCCGTCGGCACACCAAACGATACGCTGGCTATCTTCGTCTTGCGGGTTCATCAACATCTGGCGAAACATTTCAGCTACATCGCCTCCTAGGCCAATCAACCGCTCCCGGAACTTAAATAGTACTGGTGGTAGAGCGTTCAGTTGATCCGGACCTGCATCGAACACGATTCGGACCTTGCCTGGTTTATTAGGGTTAAAGACCGGAAAAATAGGCAAGTACCAGGTCCGATTCCCCATCCTCTGACTTTCCTCCGGAGTAAGCTTGCGGACGTAGCCTTTGCTGGTGTATTCTGCCATCTTCGCTCTTAACGTCTCAGCTAGTTGAGGTTCGCGTTCCATCCTCTTGACCAGACAGTGATGGCGTCTCAACACCATTGATCTGTTGTTGGGTAGGCACACATCATCGTATTTCCAAAGAAGACCGACTCGATAGCGCCCATTCTGGAACGTCGTAACGTCACGTAATTTCGTCGACGCTCGTTCGTCCTCATTGGAAAGCAGCTGGTTCTGCGGAGCACTGATCCCCAAACTGTCAAGAAAGAAGTAGTTTTTGACGGTTTCGTGCAAGAGCTCATCCGAATCGTAAGGGTCATTATCGGACAAGCAAGTCCCGTAGATCGTCCATCCAAGGCGTGTCTTGACAGCAGCTGGTTCGTTTGGTTTCCCTTCACGGCTATCTAGGGGGTGGATCACTCGTACATTATTCATGCCGATCAATATCTTCGGTTGAACGTTGCTGTATGGTTCTATTGGCAACCCGTCGAGGTGAGGATATTTCGTCGAAAGCATCCGCATGGAGAGAGATTGCGATGGAAGTTTCAACTCTTTAACCGTGTAGACATCTGTCAGTTTGTTTTGAGGACATCCGTCATACGTGCCCGAAACGTTGAATGAAACTCGCATGGCATCGTCTTCGTAACAGCAGGTATCGGCCGTCAAGCGGAGGCAGAGTGGATGCCTTTCGCCGCGCAAATTCAACTCCTTCGCCAAACTTTCCTCCATCAGTGTCAAGGAAGATCCGCTGTCCAGGAACGCATAGGTTTGAACCTTGATCCCATCAGTGTACAGCGTGACCGGAACGTATTGGAATAGTACAGCTCTGCTTTCTCCTCGATGCGTGTTGCATGATCTGGTTTCTCGGGAACTGCTCGCGCTGACGTGCTGTGAAGTAGAAGTAGTCGGTGTCGAACTCGACGAAGATGACGCTATCGATTTATCTTTCGCGTCGTTGTGCATCATCCGATAGTGTTTGTATTGGCAGCCGTTTTTACCACATGACTTCCCGGACTTGCAGGGACCTAGATGTCTTTCCAGGCAGCTACGGCATAATTTGTGTTCCCGGAGTGCAGCCCACCGAGCGGAAAGATCCATTGCAACGAATTGTTTGCACTTTTCCACTGCTATGCAGTTGCTATTGCAGATGACACATCCACTATCAACGTCGCTTCGGTTGACCTTCGGAACCGTCTCGGTGTGTGCGTTCAGAAATCCATCGTTCTTCCGTTCCCGGTGTGTCTTGTTGTCGAAGGAGCCCGAGAACTGAGGCATCGTCACCGTGCTCGCTGCTTCTGCCAGTTTGTACAGCCACTCGCTTAACTCCAACAAAGTTACCGATCGAAGAGACTGACGATGGGTCGCCCAATTCAGCCGAATAATCCGTGGAGAATGATTGTGCAGCAGTGTCAAATTACACAGATGCTCCCCTAACTCACAGGCCTTCACTGTTGCTACCATGTTGCGAACGGCCAGCGCGAAATCGACGAGCGTACCTAGGCGTTCTGCTTTGGGAGCGGGGAGAGTGTTTATCTTCTGCAGCAGCGAATGTACGATGATTTCCGGACGCCCAAACAGCATTCGCAACGTCGAAAGAACTTGATTCAGGTTGGCTGGGTGCAACAGCTGGCATTTGACCGGTTCCAATGCTTTCCCACGTAGACACTTCTGTAGACGAGCCATATTCTCCTCCGCCGAAAATCCGCAAAGGTTCGTTGTGTTCTCGTAGGTTGCGAAAAACAAGGGCCATTCATCCGGTTCCCCGCTGAAGATTGGTAGTTCCTTAGAGACTGCGCGACGTGCGGCGATTTGGCTTTTACTGAACAACGTATTCAACGTTCAATGTTTAGTCAACAAATTCACAGTTTAATTGTAAATTCCTCACCTTATAGTGTAATGATGATTTTAAATACAAATTTATAACTAATTTAAAGTAGGTTTAATTGCAATTCAAATTTATGCACCAAAGTTGAATTTTAGGAGTGATTTGCACTTTTTTTTTCTCCCGGCCGAATTGACAGCTCCGTATAACCATTATGCCGCTGTCAGCTTCAATGCGGCGCCACTGCATCCATGAGATAGATTAGTAGGTGTGGCGTCGTAGGAGGGGCGTACGCAACAGATATATATATATAAGTGTTTTTACATTGTTCCTGCCCTGCAATTCAGTATTTTAAACAGGTTTTTTGAAATCTTAAAACTAAAAACTTAAACTTAATCTCATCCACGTATATAGGGAATTAATCGTTGCAATTGAGGATTGCAACGATTTTTGCCTGAAATTATTAGTTATTTTGTTGGACGTTTGTTCTAAAGTCTCAACATTCGAAATTCTTTGTAACTCAGTGTGGTAGATAGAGTTGATGTGGAATAATAATGATAAATCATAACTTTATTTGAAGGCACAACAATTTGAGAATTAAATCAAGTAATTAAACATTCAATATGAGCAGAATCTAGTTAGCGTGGAACATGGCAGAGGTGATAGTAGAAAAGAGAGCATGAGAACAAAATCCCATTACTTCATGAGGGGAAATCCCGACACAGCTAGTAGCACTGGGTAAAGAAGGGGAAATTAAGTAGGGTATAAATACGGGCTAGCTGAGCTCGTTGAAGCATTCTTGTGACGATTGTTGAAAGCAACGGATATACAGCAGCAGTATCAGAAACAGCAGCAGCAGCAGTGGAAGGAAGCAGATCAGCCAAGATTGGTGTAGCCGTGACCGAGGCTGGAAACCTCGGTCCAGTCACGACAATGGCGCAGCCGGTAGACTAATTTATGTCAATGTAAGTATAGTGTAACGAAAAGAATTACTCTCCGACGGAAGGGCGGAGCAGTAATAATTGTTTCTAGTAGGGTCCTTGACGGATTAGGCTGGAAACCAAAATATATATATATGAAGATGAAAAAATAAATGTCACCGGTAGGCTCCCTGGCAGATTATCCAGTGGAGTAAGACGAAAAAAATTATAATAATAAAATGTCCCCGGTAGGCTCCCTGACGGAAGGGCAGTGGAGTAGGCCGGGAGATAAAAAAAATAAAAGCTTCCCGTCAGAAAGACGGTAGAGGAGAACTGTCTCCGGTAGGCTTCCTGGTAGAATGGCCAGTGAAGTAGGCCGAAAGACGAAAACAAAACAAAATGTTCCCGGTAGGCTCCCTGATGGAAGAGCAGTGGAGTAAGCCAGGAGATGGAAGAAGTTCCCCGTCAGAAGCTTGGAAAGAGCAGTGGACTAAGCCGGGAGATGAAAGAAGTTCCCCGTCAGAAGGACGGTAGAGGAGATAATGTCTGGTATGCTCCCTGACGCACTCAGCGATGGAGTAGCCGATAGAAGAATTGAAACAAACATTAAAAAAGTACGGTAGCCTCTCTGAGAGAAGGACAATTGGATCAAATTATAGATAAAAGAAAATGCTCCCCGGAAGAAAGAGAAAGTTAAAAAGACAATAAGGCTGTCCACGAAATAGTTGCGATCAGCTGACTTGTTTGTTTACCAAGAATTTTTGACAGATCACAGTAGACCTGACAGTTTATTTTCATATGAATTTCTGCTTTGTTTATGTTTACATTCAGCACCATTAACACCAGATCACTCACACACTCTAAATTTACAGCTGTCAGTTCCTCTGAGAAACGTCTCTTGGATAACCTTATTGAAATATTATTTTGTTTTAATGTCTCAACAAAGGCATAGATGGCAATATTGAGATGATGATTTCTCGTATGTGTTGAAGTGAAGTTGACGGAATTGTTTATGGTTGAAGATGAAGCTGATATTAATTATAAAATTGATATTATTTTATGTTAAAAAAATATGATTTGGACCATGAAAAAAAAATGCACTGAACTAGATTTTCAGAACAACGTCATTTTGAAGAACTTTTAAGAAATTTAAGATTTTTGGAATGAACTCTAAGACAGAGTTAACTAGAACTCTTAGTCAATTGTGTGATTTTAAAGTATTTTTTAAGCAACATAACTCTGTGAAGGATTTAAGGATCCGTAAAAATACTAAGGGAATCGAATTTTGAGGTTAAAATTCCAATGGGATTGTGCCAAAAGTTTTGAGGAAATTCTGAGGATACAATTGTAAGATCTAAGAAAAATTAATGTGACGCATAAAAAAAACGATAAACGGAAAACTATTTTTCCAAAGGCTTGGTAAAATTTGAGAGTTGTGGTAAATTTTGCTTTGCCGATCTCACCACAACTGATTTTTTTTTTAATGAGATGTTTGCCAAAGGCTTGGCTGTTGGATTATATACGAAACAAAAATTTAAGGGTGTAACTTTTTTTTTGTCGATGAGGTAGTTAACCGGATTATTAAAATTGATGGCGATGTTGAAATTGGTTTCAATATTTAGATTGATGATAATGTTGAAGAAGAGAGTAACATTTTATGTTGATGGCACTGCTGAAGTTGAGATCAATATTCAGTAATGGTGAAGTTAAAGATAATTTTAGTGTTGATGTGAAGCTGATTCTAAATAATGACATAGTTTTCGACTTTGATAAAGTTGTTTTCATGATTATGTTAATGTATTTTTTTTATTCATAGCAATAGTGATGTTGACGCTAAAGTTAATAGTTATATTTTAGCTTATTCCAAACTTGAAATTCATGGTTATTTGCTAAAGTTGCTAAATTTTACGAGAAGAATGTAAGTTGATGGCAATGTTGAAGCTGACATCATGGATTAAGTTGAACATTTTTTTTTTAAATTAATGTGGATGTTTATTTAGATTGATGAGATTAATAGAAATACTGATTTTGATAAAATTATTGAAGTTTCTGGGTTTATTGTTGATGATGTTGAAGTTCATGGTAATATATAACCAAGTGTAGCGGTTTATTGTATCAAAACGGTCACGGATTGACGATAAATAAGTAAATAAATAGATTGAAATAACAGAGTGAATGACGCAGTTGACGTTGATGTTAACATAAAAGATAGTAGAATATTGAATTGATGATAAAAATTATTGACAACAGCATTGTAATTTATATCAATATTCATTTTTTAATATTTTAAATCAATTTTAAGATCATGGTAAAAGCCAAGTTGATGGTTAAGTTGAAACATTGATAATGAAATGAAAATTAATGTATGTCGATGACAATGTTGAAGTTGATGGTAATTTTCAAATTGATAATATAGATTTTTTTATCGATGAGATAGTTAAGTGAATTATTGAAGTTGATGGCGATGATGAAATTGGTTTCAATATGTATATCGATGATGATGTTGAAGAAGAGAGTAATACTTTAGGTTGATGGAACTGATGAAATGAAGTCAATATTTAGATTTATGATAACTTGGAAGTTGATTTTGAAGAAGAATAACAGCAATAGTGAAGTTTAAGATAATTTTAAAGTTGATGTGAAGCTGATATTAAATTGTTATGTAGTTTCCGGCTTTGCTAAAGTTGATGTTCATGATTAAGTTGGTGTATTTTTTTAATTCATAGTAATAGTGATGTTGACGAAACAGTTGGGCTTACATATAATGTTTGAAAATAATACTTATATTTAAGCTATTCAAAACTTGAAGTGAACGGTAATGTTGATGTATACGGTGATGTTGAACTTGATGTCTATGCTGAAGTTCGATGTCATAATAAAGTTTAAGGCATTTTAGAAATAGATAGTGAGGATATTGATGCCAATGAAGTAACCGGTCATAGTGAAATAGGCGGAAATTTTAAAGGTGATACATTTAGATGCAGAATGATGAAGCTGTCAGAAGTCGGTCATGAAATTAATGAGAGAAATTTGAGTTTTATTGCTATATTTAAAAAAATGGACACTGATTGGTTGATTCAAGCAATATATAAATAAAAAAAATAAATAAAACAAAATATGTATGCATAAGAGTAGAAGAGGGGAAGAATGTGGTAGATAGAGTTGATGTGGAATAATAATGATAAATCATAACTTTATTTGAAGGCACAACAATTTGAGAATTAAATCAAGTAATTAAACATTCAATATGAGCAGAATCTAGTTAGCGTGGAACATGGCAGAGGTGATAGTAGAAAAGAGAGCATGAGAACAAAATCCCATTACTTCATGAGGGGAAATCCCGACACAGCTAGTAGCACTGGGTAAAGAAGGGGAAATTAAGTAGGGTATAAATACGGGCTAGCTGAGCTCGTTGAAGCATTCTTGTGACGATTGTTGAAAGCAACGGATATACAGCAGCAGTATCAGAAACAGCAGCAGCAGCAGTGGAAGGAAGCAGATCAGCCAAGATTGGTGTAGCCGTGACCGAGGCTGGAAACCTCGGTCCAGTCACGACAATGGCGCAGCCGGTAGACTAATTTATGTCAATGTAAGTATAGTGTAACGAAAAGAATTACTCTCCGACGGAAGGGCGGAGCAGTAATAATTGTTTCTAGTAGGGTCCTTGACGGATTAGGCTGGAAACCAAAATATATATATATGAAGATGAAAAAATAAATGTCACCGGTAGGCTCCCTGGCAGATTATCCAGTGGAGTAAGACGAAAAAAATTATAATAATAAAATGTCCCCGGTAGGCTCCCTGACGGAAGGGCAGTGGAGTAGGCCGGGAGATAAAAAAAATAAAAGCTTCCCGTCAGAAAGACGGTAGAGGAGAACTGTCTCCGGTAGGCTTCCTGGTAGAATGGCCAGTGAAGTAGGCCGAAAGACGAAAACAAAACA